CCACTTGCCATTCTCTATGCTTTATATCCTGGGCCAAAGATTTCTGTCAAAGACTTTGAAACTAGAAAAGGTGAAAATCTTCGCACTGGTTTGCAGGGTGTGTCAGCGTGGATAACATGGAATCGGGGAAAAGATACTCTCTGGTGACCAAAAAACTGGAACACTTCATCGGTGCGCCTTCTTTTCTGAGGGGATGAGCGAGTGGGGGGAAGGAACTAGCCATATGAAAATGTTTATTTTCGGCAGCGGCGCGAGCCACCCACCATGGAGTCCTACAAGGGGACGCTGCAGGGTCTGTAAGCACAGGCCCTGCAGACGCCAGCTGTACACCACCACTATAACCGAATATGGTGTATCCAAGGTAGGATAGCCACACAGGGTTACCGTAATTGCTCGAATCTAACGCGCACCTTTTATCCGGTTAAGCGAGTTCATAAATCGCACGCGCGTTAGAATCGAGTACGAACAAGAATATAACGTCAGTCTATTGCCATCGGCAAATCCAAAATGGCCGCCCCCTACATGCGTCGGCATGGCGCGTCGGCCATTTCTGCCTGTGTTTCCCCTGTGCAGCACTTCGTACATGTGCTGAGGAGCTCGTCATCTAATAGTGCATTAGCATCGACGGCGTGGAAGGGCCGACTCCAAAAACTCGAGTGCACCACGATGCCGCTTTTAAAAGAAAAGTCATCGCGTGTGCAGAAACGGACGAAAATCGGGCCGCATCGCGGTCATTCGGAGTTCCCGAAACGTGCGTGCGGGACCGGCGGAAACAAAAGCAGAAGATTGTCGACAGCAAAGCTTCACGCAAAGGCTTCAGTTGACCACAGCAGGGTCGATTTCCGCAAATTAAAGAGCTGCTCGGCGAGTATGTGCTTGAGCAGCGAGCGGCACAGCGGCCTGTGACGACAGAACTGCTCCAAGTGCGGGCTATGCAATTAGTCTTAGAAAAAGGACTAATGCAGAGCCAGTTTAAAGCGACCAGGTGCTGGCTAACTAACTTTATAAAGAGGAAAGGCTTTTCCCTCCAAAGGGGAACATGCATATGCGAAAAGATTTGCGGAGGAGTATGATGAAAAGCTTCACAGTTTTCAGAGGTTCGTCTTAAACTTGCGGCGCAACAACGGCTACCTGCTTGGGCAAATCGGGAATGCCGATCAGACGCCTCTTTACTTCAACATGCCTGGCACCACAACCGTCGAGAAGAAGGGGCCGAAGCAAGTTCGCGAGCTGACATCGGTCCACGAAAAAACTACAGTGACGGCAATGCGCTGTTACACGTCAGATGGGCACAAGCTTCGCCCGTACCTCATATTTAAATGGAAGACGCTCCCGAAAGAAGTCGTTATTTCGAGTGGTGTGATCGTGTGGGCCAGCGAGAAAAATGGGTGCGCGATGCAATCGATGTCTTACGTTTTTTTTTTTTTTTTCGCTGTGGAAATCGGGTGCGCGTTACAATCGAGGGCGCGGTAGAATCGAGTAAATACGGTAACCCTTGCTGCCAGGAAACACGGAAGTCAATGGAAGAGAGTAGAGGACAGGAAAGATTTAAAGTAAGAGAAAAGACGAAGATGTGAGGGGGAGACAGGAAAATAGGAATGCCGATTCCCCCCAGGTGGGTCAATCCGGGGGTGCCGTCTACGTGAAGCCGGGACCAAAGGGGTGTGTTGCCTCTGCCGAGGGGCCTTAAAGGTCCAAGCACCCAGCGTCAGCTCAACCCCCAGGATCCCCTTTTCCTCGGACACGGCTCAGCCACGCACGGCTAGGCGTGGGAGGGAGCAGAACCCCCCCCCCCCCCCGTTAGCTCGGGTTCAAATCAGGCAATGGCTGATGCATCTTCCGTCATTTGTCGAGAGATGAGAAAGCAAATTTTAGCTGACTTTGACAATTTATCGTGAATTCCAGTCCAAGTGCTGCGCTATAATATTTGGCTCACGTGTTTTCAGGAGCCTCTGCTACCGATCGGTGGTGTCTTCTGATATTGGTCAAAAAGTGTTGCAGAGCCCCTTTAGGCACCATGCAGTCACAGACAGCTAATCATCTACTCGCTAGTTGCGTGCAGCGCTTCGCCTACTAGGCCCATGTCGTGACTGCCGATTCATTTGCTGTCGAATACACCTACTCTGCATTAGAACATGCCTAGATGTGGCGAGTAGTTTGTTGAGTTAATGCGGCAATAACAAGCTTTCTGCAAGCGATCCACATCCCACGATGCTCTATCAGTCCTGGCAGCAGACGGCAGAGCGCTTGGGCTGTTGCTTAATATAAGCGAGCAGTATGCAGCGCTATGTTTGCTGTACCGTGTGCATGTTAGCATTGCTGCATAAAGGTTTCTCGATACACCCGCGACCCATAACGTTAAACCAGTGGAGTGACATGTCCATAAAGTCAATGGGGATGAAAATTAGACGCGTTGACAGCGCCGTTTGGATTGCAGCAGCACTTGTACAAATATTAGAAAATTACTTTTTACTGACAACCAAACAATTTTTTATAATCTTCTGAACTCAAACAGCTTTTTTGAACAAATAATAAGTAAATATATTGTTGTATAATTTATAGTTGGGTATAAAACGAAATGAGTTTTAAAGCACCAGGGTGTTTTGATATGGCGGCTGCCCGTTCGCATAGCAGACGGTCGCCTGCTTCTGCGTCATGGCTGCCCCCCGCTCGTTGGAGCAACTCACTGCCTCAATTTACCTCATTTTCATATAGTAAAATACAGTAAACTACTTACTAGAAGCTCACAAGTATCTTGCATACATACTTTAATAAGTGAGTGATGCCACATACAGGCCGAGCGAAACGACAACGCCGATCACACAAACTTGCAGCAATAAATTGTTTCATTGCAAGTCAATCGACATTTACATGAAATAAAGGTCACTCAGTAACGTTTTAGCATGCACAGTAGTGAACAATATGCGAGCATCAGCCTTATTGTGCAAACAAGGTACGTACTATGCATAGCTCCAATGCAGATGTTCGGCGCACAGAAGCTGTCTAGCGCTGGCTGATATATCCATCGCACTCGACGAAACGTTCACTGCAGTATGTAGAGATATACTGATAGCATTCCAGCACTTCTGTAGCTGAAGATGTCGCAATGCCTTGTTGACAGTATTCGGCAAACTTTCTGTAATTAATATCAACGTATCTGCTTGCCTTCCACGAGCAGTGCGGCACGACTGTTTGTTTTCTGGTCCGCGCTGCCACCTAAAGTGCGTCACTTACCGATTTTCCAGACGTTTACACCAAGCATGCTTCTAAATGCCTAAAATTAAATGAGAAACGTTTTTTTATGCTTACTATTCCCAAGTCTTACAAATGAAATTCTAAAAAAAAAAAGGCTTAGATGGCGTTCATTTGCCGTCGCCAGCGATGCGCTGTCGTCGTTTTGATGGTGGCGACGTCTCACGGCGCGGATGCGAAGCTCGCAACATGCCACGGGTCTAGTTAAATTCCGTGACAGCAAGCTGCTTGGGTTTCCCCAAAGGGATGCGCGCTTCAACATGGTCCCATGCACAATGAGGCGGCAGCGATCGGTGGCTCAGCGACTTCAGGTAGTCACCTATTAAAAGCGTGCAAGAGGCTTTAAGTGGCACTACACCACACGTGTGCCCGAGCAGCAGACGGCTGTGTATACTTACTGAAATAAGGCTTTTCATCAAAGAAAAGTCACACCGGCACATTTGTTGTCACCTCACTTTCGTTTTTTCCCATCACATGCAAGTGGGAATCGGCCGATCTTATCGGAATGCTACACCCTAATGTGGCATCTGCAAGTTTAGCCGCGCAGTGTGGCGCACAATGCTATGCGCAGTTGGTACGGACTAGCTGGTAGGCATAAGACGAACCACTACGGCTTAAAAAGACACTAAAGAGCAAAACAATTTTTCGCGTATTAGTGAAGTACAATTTTACAGTCCCAAAAACACCACTCTTACCACGACATCACATTTGGTGAGCGAGAAAACATGCGAGAAGAAACTGCGGGTGGAGATGCCACCTTGAGATTCCCGTACCAAACTGTGATGTCATCAATTTTTCGCGTCACATATACCTATAGCCAATGAAGTTTATGGGGGGATAACCCCATACGAACTAAGCTACCACAGCGGCTATCCTGCTATTCACTTCGTTGGGTATATATGTGAATTAAAATCACATATATACCCAATAAAGTGGATGGGGGGGATAGCCGCTGTGGTAGCTCATTCGGTAGAGCATCGGACGCTTTATTCGAAGGTCGCAAGTCTGGTGCCTGCTCACGGCAATTTATCCTTTTATCCACATTTCTTTCTTCAAGTTTACATTTAAATTTCGTCATATACCGTCCCCTATACTTTCCTTTGCATGTTTGTCTGTTAAATCTCATTATATTGTGCCTAACAAAGATAAACGAGCCCTTTAAAATACACTCCTTTACTGGTACTAGAAGTAATTTATCGTATTCATAGAGATTACAAAGCATAAGAATAAAGAAAAGTCATTGGCACGGTAATGAACTCCTAGCCAATAAAAAAAACTGAGCAAAGAAATTGAAATTACAATAGGCACAAAGCTTTACTTATATGTTGATTTATGACGGTCAAGTTTCTTGCAAGTTATTGCTCACACGGATGCTTACTGACAAGACACTATCCACTCAGGCTTGTCCCTGACCTCTGTGTAGACTCTCTCAGTAAATAGAAATTACTGCCTGTTCTGCACCCCGCTCAGTAAAGGAAATATTTTGCCGCAGGCTCTGTTTAACAAGTGTGCTGTAATTACGATTCATTGAATTATTGAGCTTGTCAGCCCAGGCAAGCACCCAAATCAACGTACCCATTAAAATGTGGCAAAGATCGAAGTACTTGGAGCTAAGCAGCACAATGCCACAGTCTGTGATGGGTTTTGCATGCATCTTTGAGAGACACTTGAAGAACAGTGCTACAATTAGAATCACGTGAAAGCTTCAAGCTTGCTCATAAATCAAGTTGTTCCACGAAATAACATACCGGGCCTTTTTTTTTGGTCTTAATCTTGTCTAGCTCTTGAATAGCCATCCAAGGGACACACAATACCATGTCTTCAGTGCCTGCATCAACCGATTCACAAACAAACACAGTCATAATAAAGAAAACACTGCTACTCCTTTCCCATTCACAACTCCGAAAGCAAGCATAGCTTGCTTTCGGAGTTGTGAATGGGAATTGCACAATGCAACTGGGCTCACTTGAAAACTGGGCATGCACTAAGTACTGTATTTACTCGCATAGTAGGCAAACTTTTTTTCCAGAAAATCCAGATTCAAGTTAGGGATGCGCTTATTACAAGCAGTAAAATTTGTGAAAATTTTATTTCCGACTATAGCAGAGACCCCTGATAACGTATACATCCCGAAAGTCACAAACATACACACATAATATAAAAGCAAGTGAAAGTCTCCAGGGTTGATGTTAGGCTATTTTAAAAAAGTTGCTTTGTTGTGTGAATACTGATATAATAATGTTGTGTGTATATTACTTTAATAATGTTTCTTTGTTGTGTGAATATTGCCTATTGCTTCTTCATACTTTTGGAGATCTTCAAGGCGTTATTACTTTTGAGCTGCTGTACCAATTGGACACTGTTTTTCTTCTGTTTAATTTCCCTTTTAATGCACTGAGTGTAAATGGCTAGTCTTTACGAGTACACTTTAGCCCCTCCTGCTAGAGCCCAAGATGAGCCTGCAGTATCTGTAAAATAAAATAAATAAATGTTAATAGATGAAATAACCTTTTTCATAGGCTATATTAGAGCGAAATGGGTAGAACATTCAGTCTCTCATGTCCGAGAATCGAGGCATGCGATGCGACGTGCATTGAAATTTCCAAAAGTTAACATTGAAAGACCTGTGTTGCCAAAGCAATGCATGCGAAAAAAATTACGAAAAAAAGCGCCATCACAAAAATTCACCGATTACGTCTCAGGCCACCTCAATAATGCTTATTATCCCGACCGAAATTTTGTGCGCTGAACGGTATGGTACCGATCGTTCGATTTTATGGGCTCGCACCCCATATATTAGACACTGCAATTGAATTGCGAACCACCATTTGAGTGTTGTTATCACCACTCAAACTCCCTTTCATTCAAGTAGAGCCACCACTAAGAGTTGCGTTGATTCTGTACACAACCACAACTTTGATCGCCTGCGGCCGCCACCGATAAGCGATTAGGCCTAACCTATGGTTCGGCAAGTTGCTGCAAGAAGTTTGTGCAGGATGACATGAAGATTGAACATTGAAAAGATCACACTCAAGTACCAATCCAAGAATAGCACACTTGATACGATGTTCAGGTTTGCAGCCGGGAAATCAACGGGGACAAAAGTCTGCCGAGCTTATGCAAGTCCGCATAGTGGCAGCAAAAGTGAAAGCTCGTGTCGGAAAACTGAAAAGCTTTAAAGGAGCGCTAACATCAAATTTCAAGATCGATATCTGCCCATCATTCAATCACTAGGTATGCATAGGTCTTGGCTAAATTTGAATGAGGTCCATCGTGTCGAAGTTATTTTAATTCGATGTCAAACAGCGTTCAAAAGCTAAGGAGAAAAAACTAAAAATAGACTGCCCAGCGACATCGGGACTATTGCTATGTGTTCGGTGTGATACATTCCACAAATACCTTCCTGAGTGACGACACGCTAGTAACGCTGACATCGACGATCTGAGTGTGTTTGGAACCGACTCCCGGCCATGCTCTCACTAGTGGCTCTCTCGCTGTGTTGAAGCGTGCGTGCAATTCATTCTGTGGCATAAACTGATTTGCGTTGTGCTCTATTGCGTGTGAGTATAATCATTCAGAAGGACAATACGAGCCAGAATGTCGGGGAACCGCTGCCTAGGAAGAACCTGCACGTCGAGGTGCAAAAAAAGCGGAAAGTGCGTAGCGCTTCATGCCTTTTTAAGCCTAGAACCTCAATGCAGCCAGTGGGTTGACTTCGTACGTGTCGTTGGACAGAAGGACTAGACGCCTGTGAAGAACAGCCGCATTTGCTCCCTTCACTTTGCGGCGAGCTGCTACAGACTGAATCCTGTGTTGGCGAACCAGTTGGGTTTCACTGGCAGTACAAGGCCTCTTCTCGAGGCCGGGGCTATTCCTACCGTGTGCCCTGCTGCAGCTGAAAGCAGCGATTCACTCGCCAAACGTCCCCGATATGAGGTGCGTAGTTGGTGTTCCTGAGCTCTGACAGTACGGCCGGGACTGATAAAACATTGCATTTCACGCGGAGCTTGTCAAGCAAGCAACGTTGTGAATTGCGGCAATACCCAATTCCAGGTCGCTGTCATCATCACTCGCCGATGTTGACTGCGACGGCAGTGAGGACGACGATGTTGGTGACAGAGGCATATCTATGCCTTCAGAGACACAGCTGGACTGACTGCACGTGCGCTCCTAGCAGACCAAACGCCAGTGTGACGTTGTGACGTCCCCGCAAACACGGACTGAACCCCGCTCCTTTCAAGATGTTTACAGTCGTTTCTTAAACCCACGCATAAAAAAAAGGAAAAGAAAACCTTCGGTGTAACGAATGGGCATTCCGGAGTAGAGTACCTGGAAGGATTATTTCTACTGTTCTCGCGCCCCCCCCCCCCCCCCCCCCGCGCAAACACGAGGGCCGGGCGGCGCCTTGTCGTCTACAGACAGTGTGACAGTGTGCGGTGAAAATAATCCGCGCACCCTTCAGATTTGTGGCATGGGGGAGCAGCAGAGCACCTTTTGTTGGTTCGGGGAATGCGACCCTGCCGCAGCGCCTATGCCGCGTCCGGCCTGACTTTCGGTCAGCCTCCGTGGCTCCAGGGCTCATTACTGCGTTCTGCGCGGATGGCCACCCGCGGCGTTGAATGACAAAGAAGCGGCGGCTACGGAGAATTTCACGGGAGACACCGAGCTGCATCGAAACGTTGAGACTTGGTCTGGACATCGGCTCATCAAGTACCGGAAGCATCGGGACCATTGTTCGCCCGTAATTAAAGTGTCTTGGGAGAGCTTGCCCATCTCTCTCTCTCTGAGGCTTGAGTTTGTACATTGTTACTTGCTCGGCTTTGTTTGGGAGAGGGTTTTCTACTGGTGTGGGCCGCGGGGGCGGCCGTCGAAGATGATACACTCCGACTGACAAGAAAATACGCCGCGTCGATAGCGGCGATTGGTTTGGTGCCCCAGTAGGGCAGAGTCGGAACCCGAGAAAAGCGGCCACGTGTCAAGGAAGGAGAGAGCCGAGGAGAGTCATTCCGAGGGGAGAAAAAGGAGTACACGGCGACGAAAGGGGACAGATCAGACCTCGACGCCAAGAACCAACCTTCGGCCCCGACTCGAGCAGCCAACTCCAAGGCCCCGACTACATGAACATTCTGTGAGACGAACTTCACTTCCTTTACTTAAACGAGCTTTGCGGGAAAGAATGCAGCATATTGAGACATTGCGCGGTTTTATTAATTTATAACTTTATCATTTGTGTCGTCGTGTGTTTACTCTGTATTGAGGCACCCTTTAATTGTTACCATTACATCGCTTATGTATCCTGTTTCGCGTGTCGCGAGTATTTGCTGATGTGTTACAATTTCGTGTAACAGAGATGTCGTTCACGGACAGTATGTGTGTACGCCATTTGCACTTGCTATTGAATTAAATGCGTCCATGATTAAGAAAAGATCGTGACGTCTCTTACTTCCCGGCCCCAGCACAAATCCCTGTACGTGGTGATTGAGACACGTAGCCAAGAGGGAACCGGATAAAAAGGGGGTTGAGGGGTCTTCCCTCTCTTTGGCGATCGGTGGCGTAGTGGGGACGTCTCAAGTGGGGGCAACGGTGCGAGATTTCACCCTCGTATTAGGGAAGGAGAGACGGCACGATGAATGAACAGGCTACGCAGGTGGCTCATGGGAGCGTGCTAGGAACGAGTGCTTTGATGTTAAGAAACATGGTTCTTTTGTTCACGGGAGATGCTGCAGTTCCAAACATTACGGACTTCCTGCAAATTTTAGAACAGGTTGGTAGAATGGGGGGATGGCAAGACAGCCAACTCATTGGCATTGCGCGATGTAAGATGCTAAGGGCCGCACATCATTTTGCGTGGAGAGACGATAGTGTCACCGCAGCGTCAACCTTCCCTGAGTTCAGAGCTTTGGCGCTCGAGCAGTTCGACACGAAACCCCTTTGCAGCAAGGTGGAGAGGTTTAGGAACGCGAGACAAAACGCCGGAGAGGAAGCGCGCTCGTTCGCAAATCGCGTACAATTGCTCGGGACTGCCACCCTGGCTAACTCCAGCAGCAAAGAGCCGGCGAAAACTCAGCTGCGCCGCAAAATTCTGGCCGAGCAAATGCTGTCACAGTTCCTAACTGGCCTAATGGATCCGGTCCGCAGATTTGTTTTGTCTCACGACCCCAAATCGTTCGACGAGGCCATCGACGTAGCAGCTAAGGAAGAACGTAACGAAAAACTTTCACAGAGCTCCTCGGTGCCCGTTCAGCATGTCGACGAAAACGCGAATGCGCACGAAATGCGCAGCTGCCTCGACCGCCTGGAAAAACTCCTAGAGGAGGGTTTGAGGTCACACGACCCCGTCGTAGAGGAAGCGCAGCATGGGACCCATTCCTTAAAAAAGACATTCACAAATTAGAATTGGTGCAAAGAAAGGCAGTCCGGTTCATCTTTAACAGCTATCATAGCCGAGCTTCTCCATCGCTTCTCATGGAAAACAACAATATAATGACCCTGGAACACAGGAGGCAGGTTGCGCGTCTAAGATTTCTGTTTTTGCTTAATTCCCAACAGTTCAATATTAATCCAGGACTTTATATTCAGCACCGCTTATCTCGTTCAACTCGAAGCACCCATGAGCACCATCTAACTCCAATTTTTGCACACACTAATCTTTTTAAGCACTCCTTCTTTCCCCGCACAATCGAGCAGATGATGATGATATATGGTGTTTTTGGCGCAAGGGCCATTTGATGGCCAAAGAGCGCCAGTTCATGCGACAAGGAATGTGGACAATGATCGTGATTATCGGCTGTATAAGGGCCATAAAATTCCTCGCGGTAAGGCGGGTAA